CTTTATACTATTCAATCATTCTATTTTAAATCACCAAATTATGAGACTTTACAATTTAGTCACTAACCCGGTATTGAGGATGTTACACTATCTGCTAACCGAATACCTTCAAGTTCGATTACACTCAGCTCAGAGTCAAACCAAATTTACATAATAACTCAAGGCAAGAAGGGCTATCTGTCAATAAAATTATTGAGCTCGATTCCATTTAGCTCGATGAAACTTCAATCACACTATTGTTCGGTTGCAATCGAGGCTTTCAAGTCGAGAAGAAGACTTGGATTAGTCGTGCCTTAGTGACAAGAAATTTTTTTCCGACAGCGTAGCTTAAGTCGAGAAAAGCTATATGTCAAAGAAGACCTTTCGAGTTTGATTTCGTTCAGCTTGAAGGCCTATCAACCATATGGTGAAGTCAATGGACTACTTTCCAGTCGAATTTTTATCCAATGTCTTTAATTCGAAAAGAATGCCAAAGTGGACTACAATTTGGCAACGAGAAGCCACGTTCTGATTTAAATTTCGAACTACAGCTTCAAATTTATTTCAAGATAGACTCAACTACAACTTAATTCGACATGGAGTTATTTTTTTAGAGTCAAATTTTCAACTCCACCGAACGAAAATTTGTGTCATTTTATCTTTGTCCTATTTTTTGTTCCACGAAAAAGGACAAAGAGGGGTAGCTGTAGACACTCATTTTCGTCTATATATATATATTATATAGTTTGCAAATAGTTTTTGAAAATACGTATATAATATATAGTTTTGAAAAACATTTTGAAAATGTATATAATATATAGTTTTGAAAACACTTTTGAAAACTATATAATATATAGTTTTTTAAACATTTTAGAAAATATATATAATATATGGTTTTTAAAATCATTTTGAAAACTTATATAATATATAGTTTTTGAAAACATTTTTAAAACTTATATATAATATATAATTTTTAAAGCATTTTTGGAAATTATATAGTTTTAAAAAAACATTTTAAAAATTATATAGTTTTTTTGAAAATCATTTTTGAAAATTTATATATAATATATAGTTTTTAAAGAAACATTTTTAAAAAAATTTATATTATATCATTTTTAAAAAAAATACTTTTTATTTGTTATTATTATTTATTTATTATTATTAATTCTTATTCATTTATTTTATTTTTATTTTTTTGTTCAGGGTCCAAAATAAGGTCCAGATAGTCCAAAGTGGGCCTGACCCAGACCGTAACCAATATCCAAGGATTAAGGTTTCCAACGTCTGTCACAGGCGCAGCAAAAGGGAGAAACCAACAGTTAAGGTGCGAAGCGGCCGGCAGGAATCCCGGAATTAACCTATCCCGGGATGACCGACCTCACGACGGTCACAACCCCTTATTTCAGAACTAACAAACAGCCAGAGGATGTATAAATACCCCATCCTCGAACACTGCCGAGGACCATCAACGAAAAACAACGAAAACACACGACTAACAAAAACCATCACCATAGAAATACCATGAAAATATTCGAAGCATAAACATAGTAAACCGAGGGAAACACCATCACGAAAACAATAGCCACAGAAAAACCAACAAGCCACAAAAACATGATATCAAAGCAAAACACAATCACATCATATATCAACAAAAAAAGAAAAAGTCGAAGCCTTTCTCATCAATAAGAGCGAAGAAATGACACCGGAGAAGAAGGAAGCATAGGTTGACGAATCGTTCGTTGGGGAAGGTAAAAAGCCGGAGCTTCCCTTTTAGATCTAGTCCGATTGAGGCCATTTCACGGTGATTGGTGGCTAGATTAGGGGTTAGGGCAGAGAGGGCTTTCGAAAGGGTAGGTTTTTAGGTAGCCGGCCGTCGTGGGCGGTGGTCGGATTGTTCCCCATGCGGCAATCGTCGACAGGGCTCTATAGAGAAGTTGAGAGGATTAGGAAGAGCTGATAAGCGTTTGTTTTGAGAGAAAGTGAGAAATGATTTGGTTTGAGGTTTATTTTTGGGTTATATACTAACCCATTGGACGACCCGCTTCGACCCGACCCGGAGGGGTAGGATCCGCGTGTTTTAGCGGTAAAAGAGGGAATTGTGTTTTGGTCCCCCCGTTTCTTTAAACATTTCATTTTAGTCCATTTACCTCAATTTAATCCAGAATTCCTTTGATTTTCATCCTCTGTTTTGTTATTCTTTTAATTCAGTCCTTTTTTATGCTTTATTTTTTATTATTATTTATTTAATACTACTTTTAAGATATATATATTTTATTTATTTCTTTTTATTATTATTTATTTATTTATTTGTTTTATTTTTATTATTACTACTATCATTATTATTTGTTTATTTGTTTATTATTATTATTTTTTTGTGTTTTCCCTACATTTTATTACATGTGTATACATATATATATATATATATATTATTCTTATTCTTATCTTATTTTTTCCCCTTATATTATTTATTTATGCTTTTTACTCTTCTTATTTTGTTTATTATTGTTATATTTAGCATTTTTTTTCTTAATCTGATTCGGCATTTCATGACAAATCTAACATTTCCATCTTTTCAAGGGTCTTTGTTCAACTAATCAAAAGTAATTAGTCGAATCAAAATTTTATTTTAATTTTTAATTTTCGCAATCAAGACAACCGACAAATTAATTGGTACCGAAATGGCTATTCAAGGGTACTAATCCTTCCTTGACCGTAACCGACTCCCGAACCCGGCATAATTCTGATAAAACGCAGATCAGGTAAGATGATGTCCGACCTACCTAAGATGTTTTTTAAAATGGTCGATAGCGACTCTAACCCAATTATTCAAGACTAAGCCCAATTTCGGGCCCACCCGAAAGACGGCCGAGACAATAAGAAGACATATCAATTCAAAAACACCCAGATCTCATCTGAAAATTCATCATAAGTTGATTGATATTCCAAGCTTCAAAATAAACTCCAAGTTCTCATTCAAAATCATATTTTTTATTATTTAAGTTAAATTTCAATAAAAAAAACCATGGATATAGGTGTGAATATCAAATGTCGTCCTGATATTTCTCCAAAAATCTTTCTAATAAACCCAACTAATTTTAATCGTATTCTATCAACATGAGATGTTCCCGATACATACCTGAATTGTACTCGTCCCGTGCCTATCTCGAGCACATATTAAATACCTAAAACTGCGTTAGGTTACCCAACAACAATACAACATAGTTCATAAGAACAGAAAAACACAAATGTAAAAAAAATTCTCAAACATTCTTACCTTGCTAGTAGCATCGACTATTGGGTATTTATGCCTAAAACAGTTAAAATTTTCAAAGTCCGTTTAAATGTGTCCTCAAGCAACTAGATATAATCAGGCTCATTCTTTAACATGTACAAGATGTAATATGTCACAAGGCCCCAAAATTTTAGAGGCCCTACACTTTAAAAAAAATATGTTAATAAAAATTATTTTTCAAAAAATTTGTTATTATTCCTTTATTAATTTTCATGACAATATTTTTTTAAATCTTTTAATTTTCTTCTTTATTATTTCAATAAATGAATTGTAACCATTTCTTCCTAAAAACTCACAATAAATGAATTACAATCATTTCTTCCTAAATCCCTCACTAAAATAATGATTTCTAATGGGAAAAAAATATTTTAGGGGCCTCATTCTATAATTTTATTTTATTATAAAATAATTTAAGGGTCTCATTTTAAAACGTAACACAGGGTCTCCACATATCTTGGGACAAACCTGGATACAACATCAACGGTAAGGGAACGGGAAAGGATGGATATTGTTAAAGCATTACTACATTCATTGTTATCATATTTTACTTGTCGGATTATTAAAATGTTAATCTTACCAAAATATTAGCATTTTTTCAAACTTAACTTGAATAATTGTACAATTGCCTTTTTAACGTTCAGTATAAATTGTATAATTGCTAGCGCATAGCAAAGCCGGAAAGGCTTAACAATTTTCTAATTAATATCATAGAGCAGCTTATTTTTCATAGAACTTCTACCAAGTTAATCTAAGAGTAAAGTTAACAGCATGTAGGGAGGACATTCAATGTTTACCCATTGTGCTTGGTGGAGGGGAACCGGATGCAGCAGTCTTGATCTTGAATGTGCGGTTTACGCAGATTCACTACCGCATAGCTTCACCATCTGGCTTACATGCAATTTTCGGTCATTGCGCTTTTTGATTCCCTTCCTGTACAGAGTGCTGGCAGCACAAGGTGCTGTCTTACGAATTGGAGGCTGCGCTTTGCATTTCTCACTCCTCTTCCTCAAGTATTCTGCTGCCTGTTCCTGAACTGTGAAATATAATTAAATCATTTTTTCATGGCATGAAATCAGACGAGACACATTCAGGAATAAAGTGATTACATACTTTTCGTTAGTATCTGTTTGGAAACATCAATACAATACCAAATATTTGCATATAACGAATTGGGTTGATGATTTTTGAAGATTTAAAAAGTAGTAAAATATGTATGTAGTGAGAGATACCAGAGCGGGAAGCTGCCGATGTTAGAACACAATTATTGAGTTTGCTTATTCTTTCAGTAAGTTGCAGATTTTCATACCATTGATCTGTTTTGGATCGTGCAATTTCATTCCTCTGAAGGCACGATAATGCATAATCACAGGCCTATAGAAGCCACAACCAAATTAGTAGCACAATTAATCAACTGGAAGAATAAATCTCAAGGCTAGAATTATTGTTGTAATAAATTAACAAAGTGAGAGATTGAACCTCAAGTATGGCGAAGATGAAAACATGCATTTGTAAAATACCTTTGCAGAAATAGCATAAAAGCTATTCTCTAGTGATTGCTCAGCAAAATTAAGCCATTCCACAGGTGAAACTTGCAACCATTGTTGGATATGAGACTTGTGTTCGCGAAGAACCAGAGCCCCGTAAGCCGTACCTCAAAGCCAAACAACTCTGAACCAAAAGAATGATAATTAAATTTAGAAGAAAAAAGAAATTCAGTGGCAGAGAAAATAATGGATTAAACAAAAACAACAGAGCGATCAAATAAAATCAAGGATTTCTGTAACCTCGATATCACCGATGATAGCGAAGGCTTGAACAAAGAATTCGAGAGTGGAGAGCTGTTGATCCACAGTTTTGGCTGCAATATGGCGAATAGCTGAGAGATAATCAGATCTGATGAACTGTTTTAAGGTGGACCGTAGTTGAAAAAGCGATTTAACGTCGTTGGAGGCGAGAACTGATTCGAGAATGCGAAGAGAATCGTCGTTGAATCTGCGAAGAACGAAAGGAAAATCATTAAACGAATCAAAGAGATATCCTGGACTAAAAGGAATTTTTGTTTGAGAGATTGAGTGAACATTTTGTTGTTGATTGGGGAGCGGAAAAGAGCGATTTGCTGAGCAACGCGAGAGTAGGGGTCTGACATCGTGGCTTAGAGAATTGGACGGAAATTGGAGGCTAGGAGTTAGTTTGAACTTTAAACCTTATATAGATAGTTTTGGGCCTCAAGCCCGTACAATGCAAAATTAAGCACAGCTCCATTATGTTAGGCTGTATATTTAATTGACCCATTAGGCCCAACAAAATTTTATTTCAGAATCTACGGCAAATGCTACAGTACAAGAAAAACACGTATTGACGATACGATGAGTTTACTCAAACAATAATTTAAATAGTCCCAGGTAAGTGGACCCTGTGGGGTTCAATATTATAATATATCTCCTCCTACTCGTCAAGTCGATGTTACGAGTCCGTTAAAATTATTTTTTTCAAAATTCAGTAATAATTTAGCCCTCGAATTTGTTCAATTACATCATTCTATATCATATCCCGGACTTGAAAACCTAAATTATAAACCCTAAACCATAACCCTATTACCTCTAAACCATAAACCTTTATCACTAACTTAATGTTTATAATTTAAGGTTTTAAGTTAGGGGAATGGTATAGAATGATACAACTAAACAACTTTGAGAGCTAAATTGATGCAAAAATACTATAAGAGCGAAAATAATAAATTGGGTTTATTATAGGGGCAAATATGACCCTTATGCCTTTAAATTGTGGAACTCGTCACGTCGATGTGAAGAGTTCCTTTGGAATTTAAAATCAACTAGCAATTTGCAGTGGTTGGGCAATGGGAAGAAGAAATGATCATATTGGATTTTGTCACCTGGACGTGATAATTTTCACGGGATTTTAAAAAAAATATATAGTTATTTATAGTTATTGGGTTTAGGTTTATAAATATGGGTTTGGGATTTAGGATTTTTATTGTGTCTTGTTAAGAAGAAGAAAATTACATTTGAGAAAACTTTTGGAAGAATTCCTCAAGTGTCTACCTGAAATGAATTATTACGTCTTGATAATGTTCATATTTCCTCACTCGAGCTCACCCTGAAAGAATAACGAGGCAATAGTCAGCGAAGAATGACACTTAAAGATCCACATAAACATATTATTGTATATCTACAACAATTCGGGTTGTATCCAACCACATTTCTTCATGGTTTTAAGGTGAATCTAACACTAATTTCGGCATTGATTGAACGTTGGAGCTTGAAATGCATACTTTTCATTTTCTAAGTGGTGAAACGACGATTACGTTGGAATATATTACTTACCAACTTGGTGTTCCGATTAATGGTGCAGCACTAGTGAGGCACAACAATTACAATTGATTCGATATTGTTGAGGAATTTTTAGGAAAGAGGTCATCATCAAATGTCTTAGACTGGATGCGGGTAGGGATAACTTGGATGGAGTCTGAATTTCAAGTGAATGAAGACTCTACCAAGGATAATGTCAAATTTGCAACCCAATCATATCTTCTCCAATTATTTGGAGATATATTGTTATCGAATAAATACGAAAATTTGGTGCACACTCAGTATATTTTGGTCTTGAATAATTTCACTGATTGTTGTAATACTAGTTGGGGTTCAACGATTTCGACAATTTTTTATCAATAATTTTGTAAGGCTACAATCGTTGAAAGATGTCAAAAACTTGATGTTTCACGTTACCTAGTCTTGCTATAGTCCTGGGTGTGGTATCGGTTCTTGTTTTTTACGCCAATTACATCATCCTCAGTTGAGTTTTCTCTAGCTAAAAGGTAATTTTTAAATTTATTTTTTATTAATTTTTTAAAGTTATTTTTTATCCTTATTTTTTAATTTATATTTATCATTATATTATTTAGATGACAACATAAAATTATCGAGATGAAGTTTTCGTGTGCAACAAGAATTGATATACGAAAGAGGATTTATATCACCGGTCGACATGTGGTAAATATTATTTTAACAAATTATTTAAATTTTAATTTATTTATAAAAATTTATAATTTAATTAATGTTTACAGTTTTGTTGGATTCTATATTGTGAGCTGGAGATCTACTGATTACTACCACTGGGATTTTTTGAAGGCTCGGAGTTGTTGTGTGTTATAACGACTTTACTTCATTTTGCGATTATTGAGATTCACGTCGCACATAGAATGTTTACTTTGTTCTTATCTTAACTTAGAAATATGTATTTTATTTTTATTTTAACTTAAAATATATATATATTATTCTTAACTTAATATATATGTACATATATTATTGTATCTTAATTTAAAAATATTGTTAACATATATTTAATAAGTTAAAGTAAGAATAAAATATATTTAATAAATTAATATAAAAATAATATATTTTAAATATTTTAAATAAAAATAGAAATAAAACATATGCTTGATCTTCCAACCATTTTCTTGAATATTTTTCAATAAAATTAAGAATAAAATATTGTTTGATCTTCCAACCATTTCCTTTTCCCAATTTTGAACGGTTTTAATTTTTTTATAGAAAGCCGATAGTTTAATTAAAAATAGAAAATATCCAAATTTACAATGAAAATTTACAACTATAATTGTAAATCTAAAATATAATTATGACGTTTTTTTATTAATATTGACACAAAAACTAAACACTTAGATCATATAAAGACCAAAGAATGAAAAGGTTAAAAAAATCTAATCAAAAAATTCGAAAAAAATATAAAAAAAAATATGAACAAATATGACATAATCAGTAAACAAACTACAAAGGGGATGAAGCTACTGAAAGACTATCGAAAAATCATAAATCAGAGTTAAGCGGCATGAAAAAACTATCCACGAACGCAAAACATGTATCCAAATCAATTCGAGAGTCCAAAACAAGGAAGATCAGTATGATAACTGTCAACACACCTTTTCGTCCAGTTACAACACTCTCAACAACCCCGATTTAGTGGGATTCAGAAAACAAACGTTAGAGTTTTAGTAGGATTCAAACTCCTAAAAATATGATAGAGTTTTACAAGGATTCAAACTCTTAAAAATAGGATAGAGTTTTACTATGATTCAAACTCCTAAAAATAGGTTCCACAAGCATTTTAAATAGTTATTGTAACTCATTATTGTAACACACGATTTACATACAAAATACAGAAGAAAGCACGAAAAAATACAAAGGCAAAACTATTGTAAACGATTCGAAAATGAAATAAAATGTAGCATCTTTTTTCCTTGATTCGTTCATTTCTCGCATGTGCATGTTATTTTTCTTAAGATTTGGTTCAAATAACCCAAATCGTGGGTTGCGCCGATGACCAAAAAGGGGTGGGTTTCGAAGTTTCGAACCTAGATCTACCCCCGAGGTGTATTCCTATTTTAAATATTCAATTATTCCCCCTAAATCAATTTTTTTATTCAAAATTTGCTCATCGATTTGTTTTTCCTTTTGATTCGGTCCCTTAAATTTACGTTTTAATTATTATTATTTTATTTATTTAACTTTATTTATACGCATATTTTTCTTATTACTCATTTTATTTTATTTTATTGTTTTGTTTTTTTTCTTTTTTTTCATGTAATATTTTTTTTTACATTTTATGCATTTTTTTTACTTTAGTATATATTTTTATTTTTTAAGATATATATATATATATATATATATATATATGTTATTTTTATTATCGTTTTATTAATTTATATATATTTACTATTTTTTATGTTTTTTATATATATATATATATATATATATATTTTATTTACTTTTTTATTTTTATTTTATTTATTTTATTTATATATTTTTTTTCTTCTTTATATTTTTTCTTTATATATTTTTTATATTACTTACTATTTTATCTTTGTTTTCTTTATCTTATCTTATCTTTTATTTAATTTATTTTTTCTTCATTTTAATTTTATTTATTTATTTCTTACCTTTTTATCTAACACGTTTCTTGGCTCTCTTAAAGGTATACCTTTAAAACTATCTAAGGTAAGTAATTGGGATCGTATTTTTACCTTTTAATTTTAAATTACAATTTTCTTAATTTAAGACAACCGTAAATTGCGTAGTGCCGAAAGGGCAGTTCAAGGGTGCTAACCCTTCCTTGATTGTAACCGACTCCCGAATCTGACACATCTTTGGAAAGATGCATATCAGGTAAGAAATAAGGTATACGATCAACCCATTTGTTTTAAAATAAATTATCGGTGGCGACTCCAATTCGTTTAATCCAAGTTGAAGCCCAATGCCGGGCCCACCCGAAAGACAGCCGCTACAGCTTGGCGACTCTGCTGGGGACAGGTAAGTGAGTCAGGCTAAGGTAATTTCCAATTGTCATTTTAATGAAAATGATAATTTTAAATTTTAAATTAATTTTTTGATCCTTATTACTTACTTCTGATTATATTTTTTTTGAATAAATAGTTGTACTGACTGTTTTCTCAATGATTTCAGCTTGTCAAAACTTGTTTTTCATCTAAAGCTCTAAACCTGAGCTCCAAACCCGTTTTAAGTGGGGTGAAAGCGACGCCTTCGTATGAATTTATTCACCGTGCGGGCCTAGCAAGTAGCCTTCAGGATTCATATACCTTATGTCTTCGTATGAATTTATTCACCGTGCGGGCATAAGGGAATGTTTCCTCTCGAGTTTAACTTAGTCCACACAAGCTTGTAATGGGCTTAGGACTAAGGGTCTGGCAAGCCCAATGGGGCATCAACAAGGAGAATTCGGGTACCTTTTTAGAACCTAAACCGGGAGAGTACGGGGAATTAGAGGCCACCCCAAAACCTCATTTTAAACCCTAGAATGCCTGAATTATTTCTCGCTTTACTTTCTATTCAAAGCATGCGAACTAGACAAATATACGGTTAAGATTTGTTTGAAATTAGCATGCGGGATAGAGCTCATGTTCGTATAGAAATAATAAGCATGTTGGGTAGATATCATGTGAGGTAGGACTTTTCATTTTCATCATTTTTTTATTATCCCTGTCTCGCTAACTTTTTCCCTTCATTTTTGATTTTGTTTTTTTTCATTTTTCATCATTTACATCATTCGCAAGAGGTGTTAATCCAAAAAACATGTTTGTTAAACATAAATAGTTTGCTTTAATGGATAAT